CCCCTAACCCAGGAGTGATCCACACCGTCCACTAACCCAGGTTTTACCCCACCTATCCAATAACACCCCCGGATGTGACCCACAAAAATCCCCCTAACACCCAGGATGTACCCACCCATCCACTAATACCCAGGGTGTGACCCCCACAGTCCCCCAAAAAACCAGGATGTTTACCCACACGAGCCCCCTAACACACAGGAAAGTGCCCCCACCAGTCCACTAAAATCGAGGGTGCCACCCACACCAGTCCACTAAAACCCGGATTGGGCCCCCCACCAGTCCACTAACACCCAGGATGTGAACCCCCCAGTCCCACTAAAACCCAGGATGTGACCCCCAACCCGTCCAAATAAAAAACCAGGATGTGACCCAAACCCCCCAGTCCAAATAAAAAATCCAGGATGCCCCCCAAACCCTCCACTAAAACCCGTAAAAAGGGCCCCTCACAAACCCGTCCACTAACACCCAGGGTGCCCCCCCACACCAGTCCCCTAAACCCAGGGTGCCCCCTCACACCAGTCCACTAAAACCCCCCATGTGACCCACCACCCTCCACTAACACCCCGGGTGGACCCCCAAACCCGTCCACTAAACCCAGGATGTGGGCCCCCCCACCGGGCCCTAATACCGGATGTGACTCCCCACCAGTCCACCCAACAACCCCGGATGCCACCCCCCACACCAGTCCACTAACACCCAGATGTGACCCCCAACCCCTCCCCCCAACCCCCCAGGATGCCACCTTTAAACCCGTCCAAATTAAAAACCCCCGGATGTGGGCCCACACCAAATCCACTAACACCCCGGAAAGTGACCACACCATCCACAACACCCAGGTTTGACCCACATCAAATCCACTAACCCCCCATGAAAGTGACCCACACCAAATCCACTAACACCCCGGATGCCACCCCACCCCCGTCCCCTAAAAATCCCCGGATGCCCCCCACACCAGTCAAATAACACCCAGGAAAGTTTACCCACCCAGGGCCATTAACACCCAGGATGGGCCCTCCACCCCCAGTCCCCCTAACACCAAGGGTATGACCCCCAAACCCGTCCCCTAACACCCCGGAGCCACCCCCCACCAGTCCACTAAAAACCCAGGAGCCCCCACACCAGTACAACACCCCGGGTTGACCCACACCGTCCACTAAAACCCAAAGGGTGTGACCCACCCCCATCCCCTAACACCCAAAATTTTGAACCCCCAACCCTCCACTAAAACGCAGGGTGCCACCCCACCGTCCCCCTAAAAACCAGGATGTGCCCACACCAGTCCCCTAACACTCCCGGATTTGACCCACACGATCCACCCAACATCCGGATTGACCCACACCCGTCCATAACACCCAGGATGCGACCCCCACACAGTCCCCTAACACCCAGGTTTTGAACCACACAAGTTCTCTAACATCCAGGATGTGACCCACACCAGTCCACTAACACCCAGGTTGTGACCCACACCAGTCCACTAACACCCAGGATGTGACCCACACCAGTTCACTAACATCCAGGATGTGACCCACACCAGTCCACTAACACCCAGGTTGTGACCCACACCAGTCCACTAACACCCAGGATGTGACCCACAAAACCCGTCCACTAACACCTGGATGTGACCCACACCAGTCCATTAACACCCAAAGGGTTGACCCCACCAGTCCATAACACCCAGGAATGTGACCCACACCAGTCCACTAACACCCTGGATGTGACCCACACCAGTCCACTAACACCCAGGATGTGACCCACACCAGTGCACTAACACCCAGGATGTCACCCATACCAGTCCACTAGCACCCAGGATGTCACCCACTCCAGTCCACTAACACCCAGGATGTCCCCCACACCAGTCCACTAACACCCTGGATGTCACCCACTCCAGTCCACTAACACCCAGGATGTCACCCACACCAGTCCACTAACACCCAGGATGTCACCCACACCAGTCCCCCTAACACCCAGAAAGTCCCCCCACACCAGTCCACTAACTCCCAGGATGCCACCCACACCAGTCCACTAACACCTAGGATGTGACCCACACCAGTCCACTAACACCCAGGATGCCACCCACACCAGTCCACTAACACCCAGATGTGACCCCACCAGTCCACTAACACCAGGATGTACCCACACCATCCACTAACACCCAGGATGTGACCCACACCCGTCCACTAACACCCAGGGTGCCACCCACACCATTCCACTAACCCCCCAGGATGCGACCCACACCAGTCCACTAACACCCAGGATGCCACCCACACCAGTCCACTAACACCCAGGATGTACCCTTTCCAGTCCACTAACACCCAGGATGCCACCCACACTAGTCCACTAACACCCAGATGTGACCCACACCAGTCCACTAACACCCAGGATGTGACCCACACCATCCACTAACACCCAGGATGTGACCCACACCATCCCCTAACACCCAGGATGCCCCCACACCAGTCCACTAACAACCCGGATGCGACCCACACCAGTCCCACTAACACCCAGGATTTACCCAAACCAGTCCACTAACACCCAGGATGTGACCCACACCAGTCCACTAACCCCAGGATGCCACCCACACCAATCCCCTAACACCCAGGATGCGACCCACACCAGTCCATAAACACCCAGGATGCCACCCACACCAGTCCACTAACACCCAGGATGTGACCCACACCAATCCACTAACACCCAGGGTGCCACCCACACCCAGTCCACTAACACCCAGGATGTGACCCCACACCAGTCCACTAACACCCGGGTGCGACCCACACCAGGGCCACTAACACCCAGGATGCCACCCACACCAGTCCACTAACACCCAGGATGTGACCCACACCCGTCCACTAAACACCCAGGATGCCACGCACACTAGTCCCCCTAACACCCAGGATGTGAACCACACCAGTCCACTAACACCCAGGATGTGACCCACACCAGTCCACTAACACCCAGGATGTGACCCACACCAGTCCACTGACACCCAGGATGCCACCCACACCATCCACTAACACGCAGGATGCGACCCACACCAGTTTCCACTAACACCCAGGATGTGACCCACACCAGTCCACTAACACCCAGGATGTGACCCACACCATCCACTAACACCCAGGATGCCACCCACAAAAAGTCCACAACACCCAGGATGCGACCCACACCAGTCCACTAACACCCAGGAAGTACCCACACCAGTCCACTAACACCCAGGATGTGACCCACACCAGTCCACTAACACCCAGGATGTGACCCACACCAGTCCACTAACACCCAGGATGTGACCCAACCAGTCCACTAACACCCAGGATGTGACCCACACCAGTCCACTAACACCCCAGGGTGCCACCCACACCAGTCCACTAACACCCAGTATGTGACCCACACCAGTTTCCCCTAACACCCAGGATGTGACCCACACCATCCCCTAACACCCAGGATGTGACCCACACCAGTCCCGTAACACCCAGGATGTGACCCACACCAGTCCACTAACACCCAGGAAGTGACCCACACCAGTCCACTAACACCCAGGATGTGACCCACACCAGTCCCTAACCCCCCAGGATGCCACCCACACCATCCACTAACACCCAGGATGTCCCCACACCCAGTCCACTAACACCCAGGATGTGACCCACACCAGTCCACTAACACCCAGGATGTGACCCACACCAGTCCACTAACACCCAGGATGTGACCCACACCAGTCCACTAACACCCAGGATGTGACCCACACCAGTCCACTAACACCCAGGTACTCATTTTACTGATGGGTGAACATAGACAACTGGTGTAAAGAAACAAGCCCAATGTTTCCCCCTTTTCCCCGGGAATTGAAACCTCCCCTGCCGTGTGAAGGAGAGCTTTGGGGCCACCATCCCCCAGGGGGCACTGAAAAATAAGTCATTTTTCTGACTTGTTGGTCAGTGGGTCATCACACATGCTGGAGATCATCTGCTGATGCAGGGACCCCACCATCATTCCAGGGGTCCCAAGCTCCCCCTAATTCCATCGGGTCCCAGAGTTACACCAAAACCCCCGGGCCCAGAGCAGAGTAAAAACATCGTTAATTTTGCTAGCCTCATTAGCATCCTGGTGATGCGGAGAGCGACAAATGATGCTGAGGTTGCACCAGCACCCCGGGGCACCAGAGCTAGAGCACAAACCACCAGGGCACCACAGTGGAGCACAACCCACCGGGGCCCCACAGCTAGGCACAACCCCACCAGGCACCACACAGAGCCCACCACCACCGGGGCACCACGCTAAGCACAACACCACCGGGCCCCAAGCTAGAGTACAACACCACCAGGGCACCACACTAGAGCCAACCCCACCAGGGCACCACAGCTAGACACCCCAAACCACCGGGGGAAACCACAGCTAGAGCAAACACCCCAGGGCACCACAGTTAGGCAAAACACCACCAGGGGGCCCCACAGCTAGAGTACAACACCCCCAGGCACCAAGCTAAGCCCCACCCCACCAGGGTACCACAGCAGATACAACCTAAATACTTACATACCAGCCTGCCTAAAAGCATTGGTATTGCGGGAGATCAAGAGATTTGAGAATCCCACCAGCACCCCAGGCACCAAGCTAGAGAAAAACACCACCAGGCACCAGAGTGAGCACACCAACCCCAGGGCACCGAGCAGAGTAAAACCCTCAATACTTACATCCCAGCCTGCCCAGCACCTGGTTTTGGGGGAGTTTGCAGTGATGCTGAGAGATCCCACTAGCGCCCAGGGCCCCAAGCTAGAGAACAACCCACCAGGGACCGAGCTGAGCACACCCCCCCACCGGGCACCACAGCTAAGTACAACTTCAATTTTACATGCCACCTGCCCAGCATCCTGGTTTTGCGGGGATTGCAGTATGCTGAGAGATCCCACCAGCATCCCAGGGCACCAGAGCTAGAGTACAACACCACCAGGGCACCAGAGCTAGAGCACACCACCACCAGGGCACCACAGCTAGAGTACAACCTCAATACTTACATGCCAGCCTGCCTCAGCATCCTGGTATTGCGGGAGATCTGACAGATGATGCTGAGAGATCCCACCAGCCTCAGACAGCAAGGTAATAGTGACTCCAGAGTTAGAAGTACAACTGTCGTCGGGCTCCTCTTCGCACTTGTACGCCCTGGTTGTAGTTTACTCATCCCGAGGGGGTACAGGTGCAGAGTGTATGTACATCTGGAACATGTACAGGGTGTGTACATGTGTTTGTCATGGGTACAAGGTTGTGTGTGTACGGGTTACTCGGTGTGTGTACAAAGGGGGGGACATAGGGGTGTTTGGTACAAAAGGGGTTTTTGTGTGTAGGGATACATAGGTTAACCTGTGTGTGCATGTAATGGGTACAAGGTGTGTGTGGTACAGGGTACATAGGTGTGTGTGTGTACAGGGTGTACATAGGTGTGGTGTGTACGGGTGTAAATAGGGGTGTAATACAGGGTTACAAGGTGTGTTTGGGGTACAGGATGTACATGGGTGTGTATGTAAGGGTGTACATAGGTGGTGTGTGTCGGAGTCATAGGGGTGGTGTACAAGGGGTACATAGGGTGTGTTTACAAGGGGAAAATGTGTGTGGTTTACAGGAATGTACAAGGTGTTGTTTGTACAAGGTTACATAGGTTTTGGGGGTACAGGATGTAATAGGTGTGTGTGGTACAAAGGTGTACATAGGTTGGGTTTGTGTACAGGATGTAATAGGTGTGTGTTGTACAAGGGGTACATAGGGTGTGTTTACAGGGGCTGGGGTGTGTGTGTACAAGGTGTACAAGGTGTGGGTGTGTACAGGTGTACAAGGGGGTTTTGTGTGTACAGGTGTACAAGGGGGTGTGGGGGTACAAGGTGTACATAGGTGTGTGGTGTACAGGGGACATGTGGGTGTGTACAGGATGTCATAGGGTGTGGGTACAAATGTACCCTGGGGTTTTGTGTGTACAAGGGGTACATAGGTGTGGGTGTGTACAAAGGGGTTTCATAGGTTGTGTGGTTTACAAGGTGTACATAGGGGTTTGTACAAGGGTACTAGGTGTGTGTTTTACAAAAAGGGTTCATAGGTGTGGTTGTGTACAGGATGTACATAGGGTGTGGTGTACAAGGGGTTAAAATGGTTTGGGGGTGTACAGGATTACATAGGTTGTGTGTGACAAGGGTACTGGGTGGGTGTCAAGGTGACAAGGTTTTGGTGTGTGTACAAGGTGTACTAGGTGTGTGTGTTAAAAAAGGTGTACTAGGTTGTGTGTGTAAAAGGGTGTACATGGGGTGTGTGTGACAAGGGGGACATAGGTGTGTGTGGGGGTACGGTGTCCTAGGGGTGTGTGGTACAGGATGTCATAGGGGTGGGGTTTTGGACAGGAGTACATAGGGGGTGTGTTAAGATGACTTTGGTGTGTGTGTGTCAAGGTGTACATAGGGTGTGTGTGTACAAAAGGGGTACATAGGGGTGTGTGTGACAGGATGACATAGGTGTGTGTGTGTCAAGGGACATAGGTGTGTGTGGGTACGGGGTACTAGGGGTTTTGTGTGTACAGGGTTACAAGGTGGTGTGGCAAGGGTACATAGGTGTGTGTGTGTACAAGGTGTACAAAAGGGTGTGAGGACAAGGTGTACATAGTGTGTGTGTGTACAAGGGTTTCTGGTGTGTGTGTGTAAAAGGGGTACATAGGTGTGTGGGACAAAGGGGAATAGGTGTGTGTGTGTAAGGATGACAAGGTGGTGTTGTCAAGGTGTACATAGGTGTGTGTGTGTACAGGTGTAAAGGTGTGTGGTGAAAAGGGGTAATAGGGTGTGTGTGTACAAGGTGTACTAGTTTTGTGTGTGTAAAGGTTACTAGGGGTGTGTGTGTACAAGGTGTACTGGGGTGTGTGTACAGGTGTACATAGTGTTGTTGTACAAGGGTAACTAGGGGGGGTGTGTACAAGGTGTACATAGGTGTGTGTGTGAAGGATGTACTAGGTGTGTGTGGTCAAGGGGTAATAGGTGGTTTGTGTACAAGGTGTACAAAGGGTTTTGTGTGAAAAAGGTGACATAGGGGTGTGTGTTCAGGTGTACTAGGGTGGTGTGTACAGGGTGTACATAGGGTGTGTGTGTACAAGGGGACATAGGGGGGGGGTGTGAAAAAGGTGTACATAGGTGTTGTGTGTAAAAGGGGTACATAGGGTGTGGGGGTTACAAGGTGTACATAGGTGTGTGTTGTACAGGGTGTACATAGGTGTGTTGGTACAGGGGGTACTAGGTTGTGTGTACAAGGTGTACATAGGTTGTGTGTGTACAAAGGTGTACATAGGTTGGTGTGTACAAGGGTACATAGGTGTGTGTTGTACAAGGTGTACATAGGTGTGTGTGTGTACAAGGTGTACATAGGTGTGTGTGTGTACAAGGTGTACATAGGTGTGTGTGTGTACAAGGTGTACATAGGTGTGTGTGTGTACAAGGTGTACATAGGTGTGTGTGTGTACAAGGTGTACATAGGCGTGTAAGTGAATTACAGAAAACAGAAAATTTTAAGGGCATACTCTCCTATATTTTTAATTACAGAAAACGGAATTTTTTAATGACAAATTATTATATTTTTGTTAATTAGAGAAAACGACAATTTTAAGCACAAAATATCACATTTTCTCAAAGAAAATGAGAAAATTTTAAGGGTAAACTTTAACACTTTTAATAATAAAAAACCAATTTTTTTTAAGGCTAAACTATAAATATTTTTGGAAATTGTGGCAGCTTAAGATTACAGATAGACTTACTAACCTCTATGATGGCGTTCAGCTGGAGGAGGACACTGCCTACCCAGATGCCTATAATGAAGAGAATGGTAGGCCTAGGCTTGAAAAAGCGGGCGCCGGGCCAGCGTCCTAGGTCTACGCACCTCTGGACAGTCAATAGGCCTAGGGTGGTCCACTCTGCCAGGGCATTGACGTAGCGGAACATGGCAGCGGCGGTGCAGTAGAGGCGGGATGGTGGAGCGGCGGCGGCGATGGCATAGTTGTAGGTGATGGCAGTGACGGGAAGGTTGATGGCGCAGTAGACGAGGTCACAGGCACTGAGGTGGAGCAGGAGGAGAGTGTCACCCTGTGCCCTCAGTGATGGACGGTCATCTTGCAGGTGGCCATCTTGCTGGTGGCCATCCTGGTGGTGGCCATCTTGGTGGTAGTGGCCATCTTGGTAGTATCGGCCCCGATGGTGCAGTCGCCCGAGGTGTAGCTGGTGCACCACCGTGCAGACAGTGACCAGGTTGCCAGTGCCGCCCACCACGGACACCGTCCACGCCCACACCTGAGCCGCCCGGATCCAACCCACCGGTGCACCGCCATCCTCCAGGCCTCTCACCTCCCATGAACTGTTCATCCTCAGGACCACAGTTGTGTTTCAAGGTCTTTCACCTGCGAGTTCTTCGTCAGGAGCACAATTGTATGTATACACTGAGATATACACCACACAGTGTATATATACTGAGATATATACCACATGGTGTATATATACCAGTGTATATACACTGAGATGTACACCAGTGTATATACACTGAGATATACACCAGTGTATATACACTGTGATATAAACTGAAATATACACCACACAGTGTATATACACTTGGATATACACCAAAAAGTGTATATATGCTGAGATATACACCACACAGCGTATATACATTGAGATATAGACCAGGTTGTATATTTATACACCACTAGGGACCAGAAATGTGAGACAGTCCGGAAAGGATTCCGGATTTTGTGATATAGAGCTTTCAGGACTCTGTATAGAGCTCCTGGGCCCTCACACAGTTGCTCTGTAGAGCTCTGTTTTAAGCCTCATTATAGAGCTGTATGTGTGTGTAGCATCAGTATAGAGCTGTGCACTCACCTAATTGTGGTTGTACTGGTCGAGTAATATCTCCTGGCCCCACCTCTTCACTGACCGCTACTAGGTCACTCTCCCTGCTCCATGAGCTTTATCATACCTCGTCTTAAAACTATGTATGGTTCCTGCCCCCACTATATCACTTCCCAGACTATTCCACTTCCTGACAACTCTATGACTGAAGAAATACTTCCTAACATCCCTGTGACTCACCTGAGTCTTCAACTTCCAATTGTGGCCCCTTGTTGTTGTGTTCCATCTCTGGAACATCCTGTCTTTGTCCACCTTGTCTATTTCTTACAGTATTTTATATGTCGTTATTATGTCTCCCCTAACCCTCCTCTCATCCAATGGTGTCAGTCCGATTTCCCTCAGCCTTTCTTAGTAGGACATTCCCCTTAGCTCTGGGACTAGTCTTGTTGCAAACCTTTGCACTTTCTATAATTTCTTGACATGCTTGATCAAGCGCGGGTTCCAGACTGGTGCTGCATACTCCAGTATAGGCCTAACGTACACGGTGTACAGTGTCTTGAACCATTCCTTACTAAGGTATCGGAATGCTATTCTCAGGTTTGCCAGGCGCCCATATGCTGCAGCAGTTATCTGGTTGATGTGCTCTTCCGGAGACATGCTCGGTGTTATACTCACCCCAAGATCTTTCTCCTTGAGCGAGGTTTACAGTCTTTGACCACCTAGCCTATACTCCGTCAGCGATCTTCTTTGCCCTTCCCCAATCTTTACATTTAGTTGAGTTAAATTCAAGGATCCAGTTGCTGGAGCAGGTGTCCAGTCTGTCCAGGTCCCTTCGTAGTCCTGCCTGATCCTCATCTGATTTAATTCTCCTCATTAACTTCACATCATCTGCAAACTGTGCCAGTGAACTTATAAGGTACATTCCTCCAGCTCCTGGAACAAATTTAGCAAAATACAGTAGACACAGAGACAGAAAAGGATAAAAAGTGTGAAATAAGGCTGCAGCCAGACTCCCAGAGGGCCACCGTAGGCTGAGCCACCGTAGGCTGAGCCACCGTAGGCTGAGCCACCGTAGGCTGAGCCACCGTAGGCTGAGCCACCGTAGGCTGAGCCACCGTAGGCTGAGCCAAACCGTAGGCTGAGCCACCGTAGGCTGAGCCACCGTAGGCGGAGCTTAATGTCTGCCATAACGAGAATTACTGAGAACAATCTTGTCGGAGGACAGAAATTTTCCCTGATAATAGTGTCATACATAGTGGTACAGTGTATATAACAGTGGTACAGTGTATATCACAGTGGTACAGTGTATATAACAGTGGTACAGTGTATATCACAGTGGTACAGTGTATATCACAGTGGTACAGTGTATATCACAGTGGTACAGTGTATATCACAGTGGTACAGTGTATATCACAGTGGTACAGTGTATATCACAGTGGTACAGTGTATATCACAGTGGTACAGTGTATATAACAGTGGTACAGTGTATATCACAGTGGCACAGTGTATATAACAGTGGTACAGTGTATAAACACAGTGGAAAAGTTTTATATAACATGGTACAGTGTATATCCCCAGTGGTACAGTGTATATCACAGTGGTACAGTGTATATCACAGTGGTACAGTGTATATCACAGTGGTACAGTGTATATCACAGTGGTACAGTGTATATAACAGTGGTACAGTGTATATCACAGTGGTACAGTGTATATCACAGTGGTACAGTGTATATCACAGTGGGAAAAGTGTATATCACAGTGGACAGTGTATATCACAGTGGTACAGTGTATATCATAGTGGTACAGTGTATATCACAGTGGTACAGTGTATATCACAGTGGTACAGTGTATATCATAGTGGTACAGTGTAATCATAGTGGGACAGTGTAAAATCATAGTGGTACAGTGTATATCATAAATGGTACAGTGTATATCACAGTGGTACAGTGTATATCACAGTGGTACAGTGTATATCACAGTGGTACAGTGTATATCACAGTGGTACAGTGTATATCATAGTGGTACAGTGTATATCACAGTGGTACAGTGTATATCACAGTGGTAACAGTGTAAAATCACAGTGGTACAGTGTATATCACAGTGGTACAGTGTATATCACAGTGGTACAGGGTATATCAAGTGGTACAGTGTATATCACAGTGGTACAAGTGTATATCACAGTGGTACAGTTTATTTTTCACAGTGGTACAGTGTATATCACAGTGGTACGTGTATATCATAGTGGTACAGTGTATATCACAGTGTAAAAGTGTATATCACAGTGGTACAGTGTATACACAGTGGTACAGTGTTATTCCCTGTGGTACAGTGTATATCACAGTGGCACAGTGTATATCACAGTGGCACAGTGTATATCACAGTGGTACAGTGTATATCACAGTGGTACAGTGTATATCACAGTGGTACAGTGTATATCACAGTGGTACAGTGTATATCATAGTGGTACAGTGTATATCACAGTGGTACAGTGTATATCACAGTGGTACAGGGGTATATCATAGTGGTACAGTGTATACACGTGGACGTTAATCACAGTGGTACAGTGTATATCACAGTGGTACAGTGTATATCACATGGTAAAATGTATATCACAGTGGTACAGTGTATATCACAGTGGTACAGTGTATATCACATGGTACAGTGTATTCACAGTGGTACGGTGTATATCACAGTGGTAACAGTGTATATCACAGTGGTACAGTGTATATCACAGGGTACGGTGTATATCACAGTGGTACGGGTATATCACGTGGGACAGTGGGATATCACAGTGGTACAGTGTATATCACAGGTGGTACAGTGTATATCACAGTGGTACAGTGTATATCACAGTGGTACAGTGTATATCACAGTGGGAACAGTGTAATCACAGTGTACAGTGTATATCATAGTGGTACGGGTATATCATAGTGGTACAGTGTATATCACAGTGGTACAGTGTATACACAGTGGCACAGGTATATCACAGTGGTACAGTGTATATCACAGTGGGACGGTGTATATCATAGTGGTACAGTGTATATCACAGTGGTACAGTTATATCACAGTGGCACAGGGGTATATCACAGTGGTACAGTGTATATCACAGTGGTACGGTGTATATCATAAGTGGTACAGTGTAATCACAGTGGTACAGTGTATATCACAGTGGTACAGTGATATCACAGTGGGACAGTGTATATCACAGTGGTACAGTGTAAATCACAGTGGTTACGGTGTATATCATAGTTGGTACAGTGTATATCACAGTGGTACAGTGTATATCACAGTGGACAGTGTATATCACAGTGGTACAGTGTATACACAGTGGTACAGTGTATATCACAGTGGACAGTGTATATCACAGTGGTACAGTGTATATCACAGTGGTACAGTGATATCACAGTGGTACAGTGGTATATCACAGTGGTACAAATGTTATATCACAGTGGTACAGTGTATATCACAGTGGTACAGTGTATATCACAGTGGTACAGTGTATATCACAGTGGTACGGTGTATATCACAGTGGTACAGTGTATATCACAGTGGTTTCAGTGTATATCACCGTGGTACAGTGTATTCACAGTGGTACAGTGTATATCACAGTGGTACATGTATATCACAGTGGTACAGTGTATATCACAGTGGTTTCAGTGTAAAATCACAGTGGTACAGTGTATACACAGTTACAGTGTATATCACAGTGGTACAGTGTATATCACAGTGGTACGGTGTATACACAGTGGTACAGTGTATATCACAGTGGTACAGTGTATATCACAGTGGACAGTGTATAAACACAGTGGTACAGTGTATATCACAGTGGTACAGTGTATATCACAGGAGGTACAGTGTATATCACAGTGGTACAGTGTATAAACACAGTGGTACATGTATATCTAGTGGTACGGGGTATATCATAGTGGTAACAGTGTATATCACAGTGGTACAGTGTATATCACAGTGGCACAGTGTATATCACGTGGTTTCGTGATATCACAGTGGTACGGTGTATATCATAGTGGGACAGTGTATATCACAGTGGTACAGTGTATATCACAGTGGCACAGTGTATATCACAGTGGTACAGTGTATATCACAGTGGTACGGTGTATATCATAGTGGTACAGTGTATATCACAGTGGTACAGTGTATATCACAGTGGTACAGTGTATATCACAGTGGCACAGTGTATATCACAGTGGTACAGTGTATATCACAGTGGTACGGTGTATATCATAGTGGTACAGTGTATATCACAGTGGCTACAGTGTATATCACAGTGTTACGGTGTATATCATAGTGGTAAAAGTGATATCACATGGTACAGTGTATATCACAGTGTACAGTGTAATCACAGTGGTACAGTGTATAACACCCGTGGTACAGTGTATATCACAGTGGTACAGTGTATATCACAGTGGTACAGTGTATATCACAGTGGTACAGTGTATATCACAGTGGCACAGTGTATATCACAGTGGCACGTGTATATCACAGTGGTACAGTGTTTTATCACAGTGGTACAGTGTATATCATAGTGGTACGGGTAAAAATCATAGTGGACAGTGTATATCACAGTGGTACAGTGTATATCACAGTGGCACAGTGTATATCACAGTGGTACAGTGTATATCACAGTGGTA